GTGGTTCTTCTGTCCTTGATGGTGAAAAAAAGTCTGCTATAGGATTTTTGCAGATCTTTTTTCATTTTTCATCTATTTGTTGTTCTTCCATTTTTATCCTTAAATGCCCTTGGGATAACTTTGCTTAATTGTATCTCTTGCTAAGCATTTTTTAAAACTAATTTTCCTCTCCACTGCTTCTTTCTGTTTCTTGATATTGCTCATAATTTTCTCTTGTCTTTCTCATAGTCTTTCTCAAGACTTCTCAAAGGAGTTTATATTCTAAATTGAAGTTGCCTGAAGCATCCATTTCCCTCCAGTTGGCAAGTTGGCTCAATGTTTGCTGACTAATGTGCTTCCTGGGTTCTTCTGGTCTTCTTGTGGCAGTAGATTTGTAGTGGTTAAAACTCTTTATAAAATTATTATGATCTGTGCGATGGCCATTATATACATGGCCCATTTGTCATAGTTGATTACTTGTTTAAGTAACTTAGGATTGATTTGTTATCATTACGTAACATGTCTTTTTTCTCATTATTCTTCTTACTTTTTACTGATTTTTTTTTACTACTTTACTAATTAATTTACTGATTCTGATCTTTGCCCCAACAAGTCAGTGGTTTAACTTTACAAAAACAACTGATTCACGGATAATTGCCACATATAATGCCAATTATTTTCCTAGCTCTAAAATAGAGTTTATTTCATTTTGTGGTAGTGTTATTTGTGGTGCTTGCCATGTTCCACACCTATCAGTTCTTTTCTTGAAGAATATGTTCATGATGTAAAGGTGTCAGTCTTCCGTGTGGTCCAGGGGTCTTTGGCTTCTCTTCCTCCTGAACCACACATTCCCATATACCTTTTGCTATCGTTATCTTTTCTCACTTTTACTTTTATATTACTGAGTACGAGTATAAATTGATTAAATTTAGAGGGTTTTAATGAGTTCCTTGTGGAATCTCTCTACAACTTCATCCTTAGCAACCCATAGTGGTACATGAGTTGCCATTCTTTTCATGGTGGTGCTATTATTTTCATATTTTTGCAAATGCTTATCAATACTGCAATATGAAATGTCCCAAATCCCATGAAATAATGTTTCTTGTTGCTGCCAACTCCTTTCTTTGCCTCTCTGTGTAGTATCTGTGAGCCATCTTTCATTTGGTTGCAACTTCCTTCTTTCTTCTGGTTTCATTTATAGCAAGAATGTTAAGGTTGATAAAATTCATCAGTTCTGGTAGTGTGTCTTATCGTTGGACATCTCATATTTAGGGTACTAAGTCAAATTAATATTTCCAGATGGTCAAAAAATTGAATGATACTTAGCATTCTCTTTTCCCTTTTTTGCCCTATGCCATACCACTGCAGAATTCGAAGGGAACTACACAAGAATGAGGGACATTTTCTATTTTTCTTTGTTTCATGGCTTGATATGACCAAAAAATTCATGATTAGTTGGTCATCCTCCTGGCGTTGAGCCTCTTTATCATTAGCTGGATTAATCCTCAGAAAACAGACTTGGTCTGTTGCTAGGGCTATATTAGAAGCTTTTCTAATATTGTAGAACCTATCAGAACCTAATCTCTATTGGGATAGCCTTTGAAATCCTAGGGTCACTGCCATACCACAGTGAGACAATAAAGTAGGATTGTGTGAAGATAACATATTCCTAAATTAATATGGTGGAAAAAAAAACTATGGAGGGGTCAGGAAAGGTTTCACAGAGAAAATGACACCTGAGCTGAGTATTAAAGGATTTTTAGAGTATTAGACAATGATTCTGAGAGGCTGAGATGAGGAAGCAATGCATTCCTGTCATGAGGAGAAGGGTAGGGTTGGCCTTTTTGAATGCATGGTAGGAGATGGAGTGTTAAACTTTGGGAAAGACTAGCTGCTCAGTTTGGCTGGAATGTATAGTTTGTGAAGGGGAATAGAATGAAGTGAGACTGGAAAAGTAAGTGAGAGCCAGACAGTTAGGAGCTTCAATTCTAGGCAAAGGGGTTGGTATTGAAAATCACTAATAGTTTTTGAGCAGTCCGGTGACATGGTCAGACTTGTGACATATAACAATTTGGGTAGTATTGTGGAGGATAGATTAGAAAGATGAAATAATAGAAGCAAGGATATGAAATAGGAGGTGATTACTGTAACTCAAGGGGCCTCCTTTTAGCTCACACAGCTCCTGGTCAGAGTGGTATTGTAAAGGTCAAACCGACAGGATTCTGTGATTCTGTCTTCTTTCCATCCAAGTCATACAATTAGTACCTATAAAGAGCCTTTTACATCTGATAAATCTGTATTCAGGCAAGTAAGCTCCAATATTGTTTACAGTTATTTCAGTGTATTATGTGTCTCATTTCTAGCTTCAAGAATAGAGCTGGTGAGGGCCATAAGGGATATAGAAAAGGAACTCTGTAAGTGCTTCTTTAAGATATTGTTACTCTAGGAACCATGTTGAATCATGTATATATTTTGCAGCCTAGTACTCAAGCCTAGGCATTTGCATAGGGTTCTTACAATTGGTAGAGATAATGATCACTTGACGCTCTATGCCTGTGTGAAAGATGGACATAGAAAGAGGACAGTTGGTCTTCTGACTTTCAGGCTTTGAGGGAGGACACATGCAATTCCAGGCTCCTTTCAGGAGAGGTCCCTGGAGGGAGATAAAGACTTCAGGAAGAAACTGACATGTAAAGAAATTGACACCTTGAGCATTCCCTAGTTCTATCTTGTCACATTCAAGACTGCAGAATTTCCCCTTGGACGAGAGTGAATGGGCTGTCCCACTGGAACAAGATATTTGAGCTCCAAATCAAATCAAACCAACAAGAGTTTATTATGTGCCAGGCTCTGGGCTTAGCCTTAGGGATACAAAGAAAGGCAAAAGATAGTCTGTGCTCTCAAGGAGCTGACAGTCAAAAGGGAGAGACAACATATAAACAACTATACATATACAGGATAAACTAGAGATAATCTCAAACAGAAAGTGCCAGGATTTAGGAGGTGCTGGGAAAAGGTTTCTTGCAGAAGGTTGAATTTTAACTGAGACTTGAAGAAAGCCAAGGGAACCAGGAGATGGAAATGAAAAGGGAGAAAGTTCAAAGAATGGGGGACAGACAGGGAAAAGGCTCAATGTGGGGAGATGAAGGGTCTTGTAGGAGACACATCAAGAAAGCGAGTGTCACTGGATCACAGAGTATATCAGAGGGAGTAAAGTATAAGAAAACTGGAAAAGTAGGATGAGTCCAGGTTATGAAGGGCTTTAAAAATCTAACAAAGGATTTTGTGTTTGGTTTTAGAGGCAGTAGAGAATCTCTGAGTTATATAATGGAGGAGGGATTGTGGTGGTGGTCATACTTGCACTTCAGGAAGATCGATTTGACAGGTGACTGGAGGATGCATTGGAGTGGGGAGATGCATGAGGCAGGAAGACCAAAGATGACAACACCCTGCAATAGGGTGATTGTAGTCTCCAGAGAGAAATGGAGGAGTATATGAGAGATGTTTTGAAGATAGAAATAACCGGGCAACAGATTGGCTATATAGGATGAGAGGGAGAGGGAAGAGTTGAGGATGCCACCTAGGTTGGGAGCCTAGGTGACTGGGAGGATGGTGGTACCCTCAATAATAATAGGGAAGTTAAGAAGAAGGGAGAATTTAGGTAGAAGGGAAAGATCGTTTTGGACATGTTGAGTTTAAGATGTCCATGAGACATTCAGTTCACTCAAGATGTCCAGTAGATAGTTGGAGATAAGGGATTAAAAGTTATGCGAGAAATTAAGGCTGGACAAATAGTTTTGAGAATCATTCACTTAGAGATGATAATTGAGTACATGGGGGTTGATGTGATCACTAAGTGAAGTAGTAGAGAGGAAGAAGAGAAGAGGGCCCAAGACAGAGCCTTGAGGAACATCCATAGTTAGTAGATGCAACCTAGATGAAGATCAAGCAAAGGAGGCAGAGAAGGAAAGGCAGACAGGTAAGAGGAGAACCAGGAGAGAGTAATGTCATGAAAACCTAGAGAGGAGAGAGTATCAGGGAAGAGAGGGTGATCATGAGCCAGTCAAGAAGAAGAACTCCATCAAAAAAATACTCAATCTCAGCTAAGGGGAAATTCCACAAAGTCTCTAATGGGAAAAGCAGGCCAGCTCCTTCCCAGAGTCTTTGTCTCCCTTCAAGGAGCCCTCTCTGAAGAGAACCTAAAACTGTATGTGACCTCTGTCAAAGCTAGAATTCTGCCAAAAGACCAACTTTCTTCTCCTAGGCTGTCACTAAGTATATCCCTCACAGAGACACAGAGCATCAAGTAATCATTTGTTGTGGTTATTCATTCATTTCAGTCATGTCTGACTCTTTGTGACCCCACTTGGGTTTTCCTCGGCAAAGATGCTCCAGTAGTTTGCTGTTTCCTTCTCAAGATCATTTTACAGATGAGGAAACTGAGGCAAACAGGGTGAAGTGACTTGCCCAAAGTCACATGGCTAGTAACTGTCTGAGGCCAGATTTGAAATTGAATCTTCCTGACTCCAGGCCTGGCATTCAACCCACTGCATCACCTAGCTGCCCTGGAGTAATCATACTATCTCCTAATTATAAGTCTTATGCAGATGTCTAGGCTTGAGACTGATGTTACATTGAGATAATAATAATAATGATAATAATAATAATAGCTACCATCTTAAGGTTTGCGCAGCACTTTACATATTTTATTTCACTGAAACTTCACAGTAGCTCTGTGAGGTAGGTACAATTATATCCCCATTTTACAGATGAGGAAACTGAATCTGAGAGAAGGTATATGATTTGCCTGAGTTCATAGTGCTGTTAAGTGTCTAAGGCTAGATTTGAATTCAGATCTTCCTGACTCCAGTTCCGCCTAGTACTGGACCTATCAAACAACCCCCAGAAATGAGACTCAGCTTTCCTAGCACCAAGTCATTCTCATATTTTAAGTGCCAAGGGTTGAGATCCTCCCTTCATATGCAGATATAACATCGGGTTTGTGGTTTTTGCTTTCACAGCGGTAGTGGAAGGCTTGCAGGTCACTGTACCCGAAAGGTCGAAGAAAGCCATGCTGTTCCAGCCAGTTGTGCTAAGCTGCCGCTTCAGCACGTCCTCCCAGCAGCCAGCTGTCATCCAGTGGAAATTCAAGTCCTACTGCCAGGATCGAATGAAGGAAGCCTTGGGCATGGCCACTGCTGGGGCCCAGCCACTTAGCAAAAGGAACCTAGAGTGGGACCCCTATCTGGACTGTGTAGACAGCAGGCGGACAGTGCGAGTTGTGGCCTCAAAGCAAGGTGCTGTTGTCACCCTTGGAGAGTTCTACCGGGGAAGAGACATCACCTTTGGTGAAGGTAATTAGGTCTAGTGGGTGTCTATTGTTGCTGTTGTTCTAACACAATCCTAACCTTGTAGGGAAAGAGAGAGAGAGAGAGAGTGCTGTTGATGGCCCTTCTAACTCTATAAATAATATAAATAACTGACCGTGTGGGACAAAGGCATACCAAGAGAGTTAACAGCTATATTTGATATCTCAGGGTTTGGGTAATGCTTTCCCTATGCTATCTCATCTTCATTTTACAAATGAGAAAACTGAAGCTCAGAGATACATCCAGGGTCATGCAGCTAGTTGGGGATAGAGCTAAGATTGGAGCCTAGCATTTAGATCACAAGCCCAGTGCTCTGTCCCCTCCCTGGAGTTAGTCTGGAAAGAATTGTCTAGGGAAGAGACAGAGCTGAGTCCTGGGCAGACGTTGTTTCAGCAGGATGTTGAGAGCAGGTCCTGGAGGCAGACTTTACTTCCCTCTTTTGCTAGGCATCAAACTGTGCGCTAACGTACCCTAGTGTTCTTTATTTCACGTGGCAGACTTTGCTCAATTATTTCTGACTCAGGGAGAAGAGAGGTTCAAAGCACTAATGTGTGACTTTCTTCAAGTAACAACTTCGCTGAGCCTGAAGATTCTTCTTCTGTAAAATGAAGGAGGGTACAGTTTGTTTAAAATTCTCTAAATAACCCTGAGGCCCTTTTCAGCACCAAATTTAAAATCTAATAGCCTTATCTCCCCTTTCTCCTTGACCTTAATTTCTTATACAAGACTAGGCCTAGAGAATCAGGACTGACCTGGGATCAATCTTGGGTTGGAAAATCTCTCTGAATCCTGTTCCTTTCTGGGGATTTGGGCTTATTCTAAGATTTTTCTGGGATCTCAGAGACTATCCCAGGCATCCACATTCTCCAAAGAATACATCTACCTGTGGAACTAGACTAGAATTAAGCCCAAATCTGACATTATCTCTGTTCTATAGGATTGTACTATGAGGTAGCAATCCACTTAGCCTAGGGACTTACTAACATGGGATAAGCAATGCTGTGTGTCCAATGGGGAGAGGAAAGAGTGGAAAGGGAATAAGGGTTGGGAGAGACATCAGTGTGAGAAAGAGAAAGAGATGGGAGGTAAGTGTGTCTCAGAACATTTCTACTGGAGGTATACTAACCCAATTTTCCACAGACAGTTTTTTAATTATGGGGAAGCTAAGATAATACTTAGGGGAGAAGTAGAGAATAAAAGGGGGAAAGAGGCCAATTTCTAGGCCTTTCCAGGTTCTTTTTCCTATCTTGTCATCATTGGGTTTGCCCCAACAGTTTTTAGGGCTGGGCTCATGGGGTATAGTGGTAAGAGCACAGGGCCAATGAGTCAGAAATCTGTGCTTTTTCACTAAGACGCCATCTTTCTAGGCCTCATTCTCAGCACCTGCAACATGCAGGAGCTGGCCTCGCTCTTGAAGGACCTCTCTGATCCTATGGCTCTTCTTATTTTTTTGTGACAGGTGCAGAGCTCAAGATTGGGAAAGTCATGTGGGGAGACAGTGGCCTCTACTACTGTATCGTCACCACGCCTGACGACGTGGAGGGCAAAAACGAGGACTTGGTGGAACTCCTTGTGTTGGGTAAGTGGAAACCATTTTCCCCATTCTGGCCTTGGTTGGACAGGCCATCAATGGGTCTCCTCTTCCTGCACAGACATATGAATTTAGATCTGTGTATGTTGTTTACTCTCTGTCCAAACAACCCCACCTGAGGATGTGCACATATTTCATGTGCCGGATACCTTCATTGATCTGAGGTTCTCGCCTGCTTTTACTGTTGATCCAGGTGTTTCTCCTGCTTTCTAGCTTACTTTCCCCCTTTCTCTTCCTCTTTAACCCCCTGTTCTCTTGTTATATACTTGTCTTTTTAATGCTAATGTGTTAAGAAAACAAGAGAGAAAGGCCTTTGAAGGCCGGCAGAGACCACTGGAATGAAAACAAAATTGGTATTTCAGTTTCTCCTGAGACATGAGGGACGTTTTCTTCATCTAGTTCATTTCCACCTAAGAGAATCACAAAGATAGAAAAGGTTGCAGTGCTTGGATATCAGAGGCCACTAATAATTCATTGGTTGTTTTTTGGGTGATTGGTATTCAACTTTCCAATTCCCTAAGGAAAAAGGTGGGATGGGAAACTGACCGATGCTGCCTAGGAGGGCATGACTTCCCTTCCGAACAAATACACTAAATTATCATCATGAATATAAATGTATTACGTCTACCTTTTTGTCCCTTAATACACAGGTTAGGGGTATGTCTTCCTCCAAATTTACAAATGAGGAAAATTTTTTAAAGTTGTTTTTTTTTTTAAAAGAGCAAATTGATTTATTGTTGGCAACAGAAGCATTAACCTAGTATATGGACTGTAGGAGGGATCCTACAAGAGAAATTACATTTTAGTTGACTTTAGTTGTTTAAGAAAAATTAAAAGGAAAAATCAGTTGATAGTAAATTTCTGAAAGGCATATATTTTTGAAGAAAGATATATTTGGGAAGTTGATGTTCACTGCTGGAAAAATACATTGCTGGAGGAAGAGGCCATTGCTGATGTTGAGAATTCCGTGGCTTGTTCTGGGATTCTGGTCCCTTTTTCCTTATACTTTTCCATTTGTCAAGTCGAATAATGGTGATAATGGTTGATTTTCCTAGAAGGTTGAATTAGTTTGCGTTTATAATATGCTTAAATATAGGAGAATGAAAGGTTTTTTCAAGAACTGCAAACTCTAGTTGCCGCTGTTTGCATGAATAAGAATACATGTTCAAAAGGAAAGAAAAAAGTGGAAGTCTTGTGCTGGTACTGTAAGATACCCTGGGGAAACGAGAGTGGGAAACAGCTATGGCTATGAATCTCTAAACCAGAAGAGGAAAAAAAGATGAATTTCTGCTTAATCATACAAGTATAAAAGCCAAGTTTGAAAGGATAAGTGGCTCATCGAGCTGGCAATTAGCTAATTGTGGACACAGTTATTTGCCCAGTCCAGTTATTTGCAGAAAAGTAATTGCCTACCCAGGAAAAGGAGGTAAAGTAGAGGCCATTTTAAATAATTTGGAGCCACTTGCCCTGCAAACTCTTGAGAAATAAATGCATAACATGAGAAGCCATGTCATCTGAGGATGTGCTGAAGTGCATGAAGGACACTTCTCTGGATCAAAACATATAAAAAGCAACTTGTGGGAAGTTGCTATTCTCAGTGTGGCTCCAACAAACGGGAGGAAAACAGTGTCAGCATCTGAGAGGTGGGAGAAAGGAAGGCTTGGATGCAATGATCAGTGGAGGATGGAAGAAAAAAGGTGCAGCTGGAAACAGTCTTAGTCTTGATTCAACTATAAAGGAACATACTAAGTGGAGAGTGGAAAGAGCGCTGAATTCCAAGCTGGAGAACTCAGTCCAAACCCAGTGCTGCCATACTTGTTAGCTGCATGGTCTGAACTTATATATAAAGGGCTGAGACAGGGTGACTTCCAAAGGCCCTTCTAAAGGTTCTGCTGGTCTGTGATTCTCAGTACAAATCAAAAGAAAGCACATAACATATTCAGCATCTCAGCAGCCACATGAGATAAGGATATGCGTCCGAGCCATGGTCAGACCAGCATTTGGAATAAGGGTAGGCAGGGTACATAGCCACCTTATATGCAGTAAGCATGGAGGGGTGGTTGCATTGAGGGTACCTTAAAAATGTCCTTTTGTAAAATACATGTTTTTTAGGCCTGAAATTTCTGATCTCCATTGAGTTTTGGACTTGTAGTTAGAAAACCTGAATCTGAATCCTAACTCTGACACCCAAGTGATTTTGGGAAAATTAGACACTTCCCTTCCTGGGGGGCTAAGGGCACTGTATTAGAGTTGGGGAAAAAAAAGGTAGGTTCAAATCCTGACTAGTTGAGTAATTAGCTGTATTTGTTGTTCAGTCGTTTTTCAGTCGTGTCCAATTCTTTGCGATCCCATTTGGGATTTTCTTGGCAAAGATACTGGAGTAGTTTGCCACTTCCTTCCCTAGTTCATTTTACAGATGAGGAAACTGAGGCAAACAGGGTTAAGGGACTTGCCCAAGATCACACAACAGTAAGTATCTGAGACCAGATTTGAATTCAGGAAGATGACAGGCCTGGCACTCTATCCACTGTGCCACTAGCTGCCCCTAACTATTACTCTGGACAAATATTCACTTCCTCTGAGCCTCAGTTTCCACACCCATAAAACTAGAATTTTAATACTAATAATGACAAGAGGAATAATAATAATAGTAGTAGTAGTTAACATTTACATAGCACTTTCAAGTTTACACAGCTTCTTTCATGTTGATCCTCACAACAACCCCAGGAAGGAAGATTCTCTAATTAACTGAATTTTACAAATGAGGACCAGAGTGTCCTCAAGAGGTTAAGTGACTGACCCATAGCTCCATGGCAAGGGAGTGTCAAAGGTGAGGGTTAAACCCCAGGCTCTGCTGACTTTAAGGCTGGGACAATTTGCACTTTAACATGGCACTTTAATAAAGATGATGATGGTAATAGCTACAGTGATGGTATACTCCCTACCTTAGAATCTGGGTGTGAAGGAAATGTTTTGTAAGCCTAAAAGTCAATACACATTTATTAAACACCTACTATGTTCCAGGTCCTGCACTACAGAAGGATATTGCCGTGATTCTAACTACCACTGTCTGTCATGTAGTTATTTATTATGTGATCAGTCAGGTTTCATGTTCTGCCGTGAAGGCACAAAGCTTCTGGTAGATAGTATAACCCAGTGGAGGCCCGATCTTGAAGTGCTGCCCAAGATTACAAACACTTCATCCTGGCTCTGCCTAGACATTTAGGGAAAGAAGGCTGAAAACTGATCCTGTGAACTTTTCAAAGAAAAGAAAATACCAGTTGCTTTTGGTAAAGGTCAGTATTTAGCAAGTAGGAATTCTCCAGGTCTGTGGGGTCCCTTAAGCCCAATATCTCTCCCTTGGATCTGTTGGAATGTTTTTTCAGGCTTAAAGATTGTAGCACTATGTAGCTACAGCTTTTTGAGAATTGGAGTTGTTTCATTCTTTGTCTTTGTAACCCTACTGTCTAGCTTGGCACATAGTAGGTGCTTAATAAGTGCTTATTGATTGATTGATTTAATCAAGAGGTATTGGTGTGGTATGATGACAACCTAATTTAGAATTAAAAGATCTGTGTAGCCTCTGCTACTCACAAGTCACCTCAGCTCTCTGGGCCTCAGTTTCTTTATCCATAAATTGAGAATTGACACTCAATCTTATATCTAACAGATAAATCTGAAATATTTTATTTCCATGGAAAACTAGAATCAAAAAGTAGATGATCCTAGAACAATTTTTTCTTCCTATCCAGAGTACTTGAAGGCTTTGTCAAATGGGAAACTAAACTCCAGGAATTTGACCTCCATGCTAAGAATAAGGTGGGGCATGGGGACTTCAGCAGATGGATCACCTGACCATCCAGGGCCATGTTGTAACCTTCACAACATGGCAATCAAGGAGAAACAAACAGTGGGCTTTTACAAGGTTTCAGTAACAAAAAAGAGTAACCCTTAGGTCTCTCACCAGACTACAGAGAGAGGTTGCTTACTGAGAAGAGGCTCCAATGGCTTGAATTTTATTTTTTATGTTAGGTAGGGAAAGAGTAGATGAATAGAGGGGACTGGTTGAAATGCATATGGTGAGTGGGTGAGGTGGATTGAGGTAGAACAGAAGCCATGTTAAGGTAAGATTGGCCTGACTTGTTCTGGGAAGCAATCTGGAATTGTGCTGAAGAAGTGAGCAAAATGTACATATGCTTTGACCTAGAAATCCCACTGCTAGGCACACAGCACAACAAGGTCAAAAACAGAAAGAAAATTCTAGGTGGCATAATGGATAGAGCACTCAGTCTGGAGTCTGGAAAACCAGAGCTCAAATCCAACCTCAAATACCTACTAGCCTGGTGGCTTTAACTTCTGTCTGCCTCAGTTTCCTCATCTGTAATATGATGATCATAATAGCACCTGTCCCCCAAGTGGTGAGGATTAAATGGGATAATTTTTGTAAAGTGCTAACCCCAATGCCTGGCAAATGGTAGGTGCTTAATAAATGCTTGTTCCCTTCCCCCACACATATACCAAAATATTCATAACTCTACTCAGTGACAGCAAAGAACTAGAAACACAGTGGGTACTTTTTGATTTAGAAATGGTTGAACCACCTGTGGTACCTGTGGTACCATTATATATTTAGAATATAATGGAATATTATTACACGTTAAGAAAGAATGAATCGGAAGAATTCAGTGAAGCATGACAAGACTTATGTGAAATGATAAAGTATGGCAGTAAATAGAACCAAGAAAACAGTATAAACAATTTCTGCCACAATACAAATGGAAAGAATAAAACAAAACTGAATCTTATTTGTCAATTGTCTGGGTCAAATTTGGACCCAGAGAAGGGTTGAGAAAATAGACCCACCCATTTTATACATTTCAGCCAGTCTTCTATACTTCAGATACCTTTTACCACCTCTAATAAAAGATAAAACAGAGATCCTCCCTTTACTGCAGACCTGGAGGAATGTGGATGTGGAATATTGTATA